GAAGCGGATGAGGAGAGAGTTCGTACTTGCCGAGGACTGGTTGAAATTCTGCTCCATAACACCTTTTTTCTAAATTGAAGTTCACGCCTGTTTTGGGAATGTTTGGTTGGGTTTCCAGGCTTTTACCTAGCTAGCTGTTTCCGCGAGGGTTGTCAGTATAACCGTGCTTCGTAGTCACGGCATGTGCCTATGACTTCATGGTGGCGCTGAAGGGCACCATGGCCGACTAATGTAGGTAATCTCCCGATGACCTACCAATGCTGCCTCAGTTAGGCCTAGACCTCATCCCGTGAGGATCATTTCTCCTATGACATGTTTGTCTCGAACATATCAACTTTAAGGCCGCGTTCTCAATCATATGGGTACTGCTGATTCCCTGTACCAGCCTTTCTTTCCTTTTTTCTTTCGGTAGTGGCATCGATTTCGCATATTGGCGGATTTCACTAGCGCATGTTCATGGACGTATAAATAAATGAATAAATAAATAATGGGACTTCTGGTATCACATGCCACCGTCTAAAGCTTTTCAAGACATGCTGCGCCCAAAGGATGAATCCCGGCAGATCGTTAGGATAGAAGATGCAAAAAATGTGCTTTATAAGCTTGGAACAAAACTTATGATCACAACAATCAAAAAGCTCTCTTGAATAGGCGGAGGGAAAATAGAAAGAAAAATCCTTCAGTATTTTTTCAATCTGGTCCTCATTTAGAACTCAGCTAGGGCTCTCAAGAAAACTACATAGTAGAGCAGAAACAACGTTGAATGAATTGAACTTCCCTAGCTAAGACATGATTTGAAAGTTTAGCGGAATTTGCTTTTCTGCTAAGACGTGATTTGAAAACGAGTAACGCAACTTTTTCCTCCGCGATGGTCTTCGTTTATATGGGAATAGAAACACGAGCCAAAGTTATCCGTAGACAGTATTTAAAAAAAGCTGTCGACAGCTCCACTGCTAAGAATCAAGAATTCAAATTCAAGGTTCGCTAGCAAAGCGGGTAGCCAGCTCATGGACTGAATTTTGTGCAAGCCTGATGCTTGGCCCTTCGTCCGACTTCGAAGCGGACAAATTAGTTAGCCAAAAATCCGATCTATTAGTTGGAAAGGAAGTTCTGAAACACCCCACAGCCAAAATTTTAAATTTATTTTTTTATCCTTTTTTTTTCTAAGACCCGGAACATATTGACCATCAGACTTAGCAATACGCCAACCTTCGGGCAATTGGCTGACACCATTTGTAGAAATTAGGAGAATTTTTGTCAAACAATCTTTTGAAGTCGGATTTGCGTCCTTCTCGTCGTCGAGCTTTCTGTTCTCCAGGTAATGAGCAAGCGAGCAGGAAAGGTGGAAGACGTGTATGGATAGGTTTGACGAATATGGCAGACGGGCAACCGCGGTCCAGCCTAGCTTGAGAATCTTGTGGCTTGAGACCGAAGACCCGCGCCGTTGCGCGTTGTCGTGAAGCAGATTGACTTGTCGCTGTATTCCGTGAAGCTTTTCTGCAATCGTTCCGAGCAGCTAGCAGCGGG